CCCCAAAACCCCAAAACCCCAAAACCCCAAAAGGTCTAGATCAGTACGAATATGATAAAGTATAGTTTGAAATTAACAAAAGAAAAGATAATATTAAATTTATACTTAAAAGATGGAATAGCAGTTGAGTACTAGAGAGATACTAAGGAACAGTTTCCTTAAGCTGATATTTGAATTCATTGGTTCAATGTTCCTGACAGTGTCATTCAATTCTACTCAAAAAGTAGTGCTATCGGATCTCGATGCTGACAACAACTTTTCAAGAAATCAGACTTCCCTTTTACTATGTCTTTGGGTACTGATTGTATTCGGATGGAAAGTATCCGGCTCACACTACAACCCAGCAATTTCCTTTGCATTCATGTTGAGAAGAGATGTTGGAAAATTCCCAAGACCTCTTGGAATTGCCTATATTCTTATTTAGTTCCTAGGAGGTTTCGTTGGAGCTTTACTCTCATGGTTCTTGAGAACTGACCCTGGAGCTTCAGGCAATATTTACATATAAAATTCTTCATATTTCTTCTATGCTATGGTTGCTGAGACATTAGGCTCATTCTTAGTAGTCTTTTTCTATTTAACTCAAACTGAGAAAAAGACAGTATTCTCCTAAGAGTAAGCAGTAAACTGCTTTATCATTGCATCTGCGTATATTGGAGCAAGAGCAATGCTAAATGGCACAAAGATCACTCTTAGTGGAGCAGTCTTAAATCCAGCTATCGGACTGGGAACTTGCTTTACTTAATTATTTGATACTGGTGTCGATCACTTTACCTGGGTATGGATTTATGCTTTAATGCCATTTGTTGGAGCAATCTTAGCAGTATTATTCCATGAGTATGTATTCAAGAAGACCTAAGAAGTCTTGCTGGAGGAAGAAGAGGATGATCATGATGAGGGAGTAAATCTATTAGACAAATGAAAGAGTCTAGTCAAGAATGGAGATATAAATATCACCACACACATCTGATGTAATAAACTATGAAACTATTTCTATTAACAAATTAATTCAATCTAAATTCTCTTATAAGAAATGCTTTTATATAAGATTCATTTTATATTTTACTTATTTTTTTTAATCCCTTGAAAAGATTCATATTATTTTGATTTTACGGGGTTTTGGGGTTTTGGGGTTTTGGGG